TCCCCAAGAACCAAAAGGACTTGCGTAAGTGGCTTGGCCTTGCCAATTACTTACACAAGTACAGTGCGAATTACGCAGATATGGCTCGGCCATTGTCCGATCTCCTTAAAAAGTATGTGGATTGGTGTTGGAGTAACACCGAACATGATGCTTTTGAAGCCGTTAAGGAGAGTCTCCTTCATGCGCCAATATTGGCTTTGCCCGATCCTGATCGGCCTTTCAGTGTCGTCTGTGACGCATCTGATTTTGCCATAGGCAGTGCTCTGTTACAAACAGATGTCGATGGACGCGAACGCGTCATCGCATTCGAGTCTCGGCAGCTAAAAGCTGCTGAAAAGAACTATCCAGTTCATGACAAAGAGCTACTTGCTATGAAGTACGCTCTTGTCAAATTCAGAGTCCATCTGCTTGGATCCAAGACGTTTGTGATCTGTACAGATCGTGCGTCATTACGCACTGCGACACAGTCACCTCATCTCTCACAGAGAATGGCTCGTTGGCTTTCCTTCTTTGCCGAATATAACTTCGAGGTGAAGTACAAGCCAGGTAAGCAAAATGCTTTGGCTGATGCGCTATCGCGTCGACCTGACTATGAGCTTGCTCATGTTACGACTCTGTCGTCGTCAGTCACTGACTTAATCTGTGCGGCATATGCCAAGGATGATCAGTGTGTAGCTTTGCTACGTGCTCTTGGGAGCGATGAGTTTAAAGACTCGGACATAGAATTGTCGGCACGTATGCGTGCGAGGCTACATCGATATTCCATCGATAATGGCCTGTTGTGCTGTCGCACGGATATTGAGGATAATCCTCGTATCGCTGATGAATTGAAGTATCGAATCCTCTATGAGGCACATGATACTGCTTGAAGTGGTAATCTCGGTCGTGAGAAGACTCATAGCTCGGTGATCCAAAGTTATTGGTGGCCCAAACTTTATAAGTGGGTGAGCACCTATGTGCGTACGTGCGAAACGTGTCAACGGGTTAAACCCTCAGCACATGCGGCGGCGCCGCTGGCCAATTTGCCAGTACCCACTGGTTGTTGGGAGTTCATGAGCATGGAATTTGTGTTTGGCCTACCGAAAGATTTGGAAGGCAACACTGGTATTGTGGTCTTTGTTGGGCAATATAGCAAGATGGCTCACTTAGCGGCTGTGCCGGATAGCATCGATGCTGAAGATACAGCAAAGATGTTTATCGACCGTGTGTTTCGCCAACATGGCTTGCCTGTGGCAATTGTCTCTGATAGAGACCCCCGCTTCACTGGAAAGTTCTGGAAGTCTATCTTCAAGGTGCTGGGCACTCGGTGGGACATGTCCACAACGGATCATCCGCAGACCGTCGGTCAAACTGAGCGTGTTAACCGCGTCATCAACGACATTTTGCGCAAGATTTGTGCTGATACGCCTATGCGTTGGAGCTCAATGCCCTGTTGTTGAATTTTGCATTGAACAGCGCTTTTCATTCCTCCACAGTCTTTACTCTGTTTTGTGTAAACGGTCGCACCCACAGTCGCGATCCATTAACGCTACCACTCTGTGGTTCAGGGCTTGGTGGGGGAGAGGTTGCCGATCGGCTTGCAGATATCAGCCCTGCTACTGTTCAAAAACATGTAGGCGAGTTTCTCGCAACGCGATTAAATGTCTTAAGACATGTGCGCGACGCAATGGCTGATATCCAAGATAACCAAAAACAACAAGCTGGTCTCCGACCTCAAAGGTCGGAGACCAAGTACTACTCAATACTAAAAATCTACCTACAAATGTAGTGTCTGCTGTCTTTAAGACAAAGTTGCGTCCACGGTTTATTGGACCGTTTACGGTCACTGTTAAGAAGGGACTTGCGTATACGCTAAATCTTCCGCGCAAATTGCGCACACATCTAGTGTTCTACGTAGGCTTACTTAAGCCGTACCGGGATCCTTCCCATGTAAACTTGGAGGCGCTTGCGCCGACGACAAGGTCACTGCCCCGGATTGTAGGCGAATCAGCAAGTCAAACTGAGCCTCGCTCCGAGTTTGAGCTTGCTCCATCGCCTGAAGACGGCTTTGCATCGAATCCAGCATGTATTGGGACTTACCCAAGGCCTCTTGAAGACCCTTCACTTCGAGAACCAATTTCTCGTGGGCCTCCACCGGTACACCGGCCGCCACCGACTTTGCTCGATGAGCATGGGTGTCGTCAATTTCATGTCGAGAGACTACTGAAACGACGTCGTCGTCAGGGCCAATACCAGTATCTGGTAAACTGGCGTGGGTACCCTGAGTATGAAAACTCATGGGAATTTGAGGTACCCCTTCGTCAAGACTGCCCGTATGCTTTGGATGCTTTTGAGCATCGTGGCCATGGTCATCTCGAGACCGAGGCCGTTCCCCACCACTAGTGGTGTGGGTTGGCGGGTTGTTGGCCACCGACTGACCAGCGCTCGCGGCTACCTTAGTAGCCGAAGCATAGCGCGTGCGCTTGCACAATTGGCCTCTGGCCCTAAGCTTGGCATAATCATACCGAAGCTTGCATTCAAGACGCACATCAGCCGCATAGGCACTAGCCCTTAGAGCAAACATGTTGCTGAGGCGACGCACATAGTGCACCCAGTGAACGAAGGCATTGTCTTCTTCGCTCACTGTTTCGCCTGCGAGCAAGAGAATGGGTATACCCTTGATCGGTGGAACCGGTGCACCACGTGCTTGCATGTCAAGGCGTGCCTTGTATTGACTTCGAGTCGTTAGGTGCGGCTCCACGTACCTCTCACGAAGTGCCTGGCAGCTCACCACCTCCTCAGGAGCCTTAGGCCCATGGCCAATGACCCACGTTGCCAATGTTTGGCCGGCCGCTTGACGTAGACGTTCCTCCACACTGGGTGGGGTGAACACATAGTCACGCTGGCGTTCAAGGGTTGCAGCCATTTGTATATAACGCTAAGCGTTTTCTTCTCTTTGGACGAGCAATTGTTGCTGCTCATCGAGCGGGTTCGTGATGATAGTTTCATCAGACCCAGATGTTGCATGCTGCGCTGGTGGAGTGCTCGCATCTCCACGTTCAGCGAACGGATTTGGGGTGTTCAAAGGTTGTGCCTCAGGCATCAGTGAGCCGGACATTGTCCATGTATCATCGCGGACACTTGTATCGCTACCATAGTCCACCTCCTCCTCTATTTCGAGGTAGCCACACAGAGCCTTTGACTCGTTTGGTGATGAGGACATCGTGCTAGAGCGTACGTTACCGTGAGGTTCACCGTACGCGCACTGTTCTCGCTGGGAACGCAAGTTCGATTGACGTTTTGGCAAGCGTCAGTCTGGTGGGGGAGGGTGTAACGGGGTTGCACGAAATCATGGTACTTTGTACCAGAGGTGTTACACACCTGAGAGGTACCCCTTTGTGAAGGTGATATAGAATATCTTATTGGTTTGTAGGGGCTGACGAGTGTCAGCCATTAGGTACGAAAGATCTTTGAGTAGGCTTAAGACATTCTATAGGCTTTAACAAAAAATAAAATCAGTTCCCATTTTGATCTAAAGGACACGTGGCTTGCGAGCCGTCTTGATCATTGATCACTGATCAATAAGAGTTAGCAACACCTCCTGGAGGTAGCTACTCTTGAGCACTGAGTGCTGTCGATTCACTGAATCGTTAGGTCCCCCGGAACAGGGATCTGAAGCTGTAAAGCTTGTTGACTCGTAAAGTCGTTAGTTCTTTAGAACTAAGTTGCTCGTAGAGCGTTAAGTCTTCCTCTGACTTAAGGAGCTGTGTAGCTCCGCTACAGGTGGATTCCAAGCTTGACACCCACTCAGTATGTATGTGGCTCCACTCGAATCGTGAGGGTCGAACACAGCAGCGCGACAAGAATTGAAGCAGTTGAAACAACGGTGACGTGAGTGATATGACGATTTCCAGTGAACTGGCGGTATCCGTACAAAGCAGGCTCTTCGGCCACGAAGCGCTTACGTAAATTCTGATAGACACAATTGTTGAGATGGAAGCGAGGATGGAAGGCAACGAGGTGAGACGTTTTGTTGATTGATGCATATGACAGGTGGCATTGTGTAGCCATGCAGCAGTCGGTCGCAGTTGCCCCTGGAACTCAGGATTGCACGAAGAAGGACGTGCACTCAACAGCCGTATCAGGCTAGATAATTGGGGAAACGGAAAACTAGTATTCGCAGACACGAAAGAAAGTGTCTGTCCATCTTCTTCTACATTTCCTCAAGTCAGTTGTGTACAAGACCACCGACCACAAGGTAGGAATCATTTCAAGAGCGGAGAATGAAGCTTGTGCAGAGTTTGGTCAGAATAAAAGATATGCAAGTGTCTACCAGTCAACAGTCGTCGCCGACTTCTACACTTCATCGCGAGCATGAAGGGTAAAGCCTTTAGTGAATGGGCGCTAACAGAGTAACCCACCTTCTGTCTGCGTGTGTGACGGTTTGTCCGCAACTACAACGCCAAGTGTCTCTCAAACGTCATGCGAAGTATAACAACCAGACAACTACTTCTCAGTGCTCAAAATGGAAAGTAGTATTAAGAGTTAAGACTACTGCTAAAATGCATATATATATCCCTTCATAAAGTGGTCGCTCACCCAGATTGTTTGAAGAGCCCTGTCCCTGCAAGTTGCCATAAACACGACACACAATTCATGTCGTGGTACGTAAACCTCGACACGAAGTGCCACGAGGTGTACCTTACACATTTTCACTAAGTGCGATATAGCAAGTCTTGCATGAGTATGTCTTTGCGAATATAATGGGTTGACCTTACACGCCACACTAAGTCGATGTGGCCCGTCACCTAATGTGTAGATCTGGCTGATGCTTCGAGCCTCTGAAGACCAAACGTAAACATCAAACTCACGTGGCTCACACTAATTCGGTTCGATTTGGTACTACTTTTGGGACATCTGACTCTTGCGTCATGTCACAGGTAGCCAGCCACGTGAGGTACAGTCCCCATCAGTTCCGAATCTGCCTCCCTGTCCCCACATTGAAAACAACGTGTCCAACAATGCGTCTGTACCCTCTCGCACTCGTGTTTTCTACTGTGACCCTCACCCGCAATACGGATTCCTCGCGGGTACGTGGTTTGTCAGTGGCCGAGCGGCCATCGGGGAGGTTACATGGGACCATGACTGCAGAGGAGAGAGCGCAACCTCTAGCGCTTGGAGCGGATGAAGGAGTGATCAAGACGGCAGCTGCTGCGTTGGTGGCCAGCTTGCACTCCCATGATGCAGACGCCCCCGAGCCACTGACCAATCTTGTCAAGACACACTTGACGTCTATCGACATGGAGGCTATTGAGCTTCATCTCAAGAGGTTATGCGGGGGACATGAAGCTACGCCCCCTGTAACCTCCGCGGGGGTTCTTGAATATCAACGGGGGTATCATCAAATGATAAGTGGGAGTGAGCACACGAGAGACGAGGTGATTACAGTGGTTCGTAAATCCGTCGAGGCTCATCAGCTGCAGATAGCCAATGATATGGAGGCGACGCGAAAGAAGTGGATATCAGTCGAACGAGACCCTGACTACGTCTTCAAGGAGTTGTCTATTGCAGGAAATGGCGACGTAAACTGTTTTGCATCGCCAAACCTCGGGGTGCTGAAGGAGTACATCCGCCAGTACAATCACCTCATGCATACCGAGATTCGGTTAGTCGACACGTTCATTAATGGCTTCGGTGGTGAGGATAAACTCGCAGTTGTATTGTCGACTGTGAAGCTCAGTCCTATCTATCGGTTCCAAGCGCAGGACATGCAAGAGAGGCTGTTTGAAAAGCTGATATGGCGTAAATTGAATATCGACGGTTTTGCTGATAGCCTGGGGATGTCAGCAGATACAAAGCGTGTGTTGGCGTATCAGTACCTGGAAGCGGTCACCGCATATGCCTTAGCGTACGACAAAGCGCATAAGAAGCAAACCGATATCTGCGTCTATTTGATAGGAAAGCTCGGCGACGCTGATTTCGCACTGCGGATTGGATACGCGAAGTTCGTGAGCACATCCTTCGCAAACAAGTTGGAGAAGAAGCTGTTTCGCAGGTGGGAAATACTAGGTGCGCCGCGCATCGATCCCAGCCCAATTGAAGCTGATGAGAAGGTCATGGACTCGATGAAAGAAAGGTACGTCACGTTTCACGATAAGAATGTGGCTCTCTCGCGTCCGGCGGTTCTTCACAGCTTTTTCCCTCATCCGTCACGTGCAAACCGGAGATAAGAACAATACATAGCATCCATGAATGAACCTCGCTCGCAAATACCAAATGCTCGCTTTCATCAGGGACGGTTTAGTCAGACGAGCGAAACATCATACAAACCACTTTGCTTATGGAACGCAGGTTTTGACGGCATCTGACTGGAAAGCACGTCTCATGTCAATGCCGTCCCAAGGACGCAAAGTGCACATTCTGGTGGCGTCACTCGACTTCTATGTAAACCCATCGAATGAACATACGTAGAAGACTTGAAATCAAACGCTGACATGTCGAACAACCGCATCCGCGAGCACTAGCAATTTTTTACGTCAGGGTCAAAGCAGATACTGCAATTCGCCCGGTCAACACACTGCTGATCGTAACTGACATCAAGACCCCGCAGGACAGTGTGCCGCATATCGCCCCCATGTCTGCAATATCGTACGAAGTAGGGATGACAACAATGTTAAGTCTACCAGAACTCGCGTCCTTTTTCTTCCAAGAGTCTTGGGCCATCTCGTCAATCCTGAGGATATTTTCTTCACCCGTGCTGAATACCACCCTTCACCCAGCTGCCTCGGGACAAATTACAACCTCACCAACGATATCTCTGCTCCACGAAGCTTATGCATTGGACAGCTTCCTTCAAGTACAGTGACAACCGCAACGAGATTTAGCAGTAGCTCTTGCTACAGCCATCTTGATGGTCTCAGCAAAAGACGGGAAGGTTGCATTGTCATGGTGCTTCCTCTAGAACAAAGCATGAGGCGAGACACTTATCGACACCGCATTCTTTCTTCGGACAAACTGAGCTATCAATTCGAATAGCGCAGTGACCATTGACAAAATGACGCGGCGATCCATTCTTCTCCACCTCCATCGCAATTCAAAACAGTTCCTTTTCTTTGGCTTGACGAAGCAACTTCACCGCTCCGGTGCATGCAAATGGCTGGAATGACGCAGCTTGACGCTCAGCATCGCTCTCACAACGATCCGCTTTCGACTTGTGCAATTTTGTTGCACGTCTCGAGTGCTTCATGCGTCTTCGTCGTGGTCCGTCCAGTCTACAACCCGTTTCTGCTTCGCCAAGCTTTGGCGGCACACGCTTCAGCTGATGCCTCTGGATTTGCGCTACTGTAACTTCGCCGACATCGTCTTCGCTTGCGTCACTATCAGAATCAGCACCGTAACCGTCTGAATCGTCGTTAAACAATGTCTTGCTGTCGTTTGCTCCTTCGCAACTTTGACCAATGTCTTCCGATGTAACGTCGCAACGGAGTGACGCTCCATCCAAATTCCCAACAGCACCATCCTTTACTAGACATTCCTCAGTAAGCTCGTCCACGCTCTCTCCGTCCGACACATCAAGAACAGCTCGCTCCTCGCGTAACGACCCAAACGTACGACCGGCGTCTGAACCTCGAGCGCCTTCGTCGTGCGCTGCCACTCGAGACTGCAACGGCAGCCGTCCAAAGTCCTTCTTCCACAGCCGCAGTATCTGAATATGGTGGTCGAAAAGCATCCGGAAATGCTCTTCCGTTGTGGTCTGCTGACTGAAATCACGAGGCAGGCGACCGAATACCATGGCAATCACCATGTCCAGCACATTCGTACCCACAGCGACGCCACCTTCTCCACCAGGACTGTCAAACGCACTGCGACACTCTTCTTCGTCCAGCTCGGGCTCTTTCAGAAACGCATCCAGCAGCGTCATCAACCGGTTCTCGACATCCTCCAGCTTCCGCAGTATCAGGACATACTGCTGTCGTCCCGGACGCAGTTTCCTCTCTCGACTCGGCACTATCGTCTCTAACTTGGCCCGGAACGAGTCGCGCAACCGCGTGAGCTAAGCACAGACGAGTCAGGACGACGGTCCACAAAAAAGGTCAAGCAGCAGCAGACACGCTGCAAAAAAGGAGCAGTAGCAACAGTAGTACGAGAGCAGACGAACCTCCTCGATCTCGTCGCTTTGTTGTTGCTGCCTCGTCTCATACTGCGCGGCCTCCGTTTCGGCCAGCAGCTCCAACTCCCTCATCACGTCGCACTTCCACCGCATATCGCGCGAGCACCGACACAGACAAGTCCGCAAGTACTCGACGCTTTTCCATCTCGACGGACTCGACAACGTGTACAGGAACTCGTGCAGCGGCACGCCATCGATGGCCGGCGGGTAGTCCACCAAGGCCAACACGTCGGTTGGGAACGCGGTGTGCAGACCGTCCAGCAGTGCACGCGACATGCCGTAGGTGCAGTGGAACCCCCAGTCTGTCCACAACCCCCAGGCCAAAAATAGAACCACAGCAAAAATAGAACCGTCGAAAAAGAAGAAGTAGAGAAAAACAGAACCTCAGTCTTGCGCTTGCACATCAACAGAAGAGACCGCGGCAGACGAGACAGGCAACGTACGTACGTACGTACGGTGTTCAAAGAGCACTTCAACAAATGGCGTACACTGCTCGTGCAGCGTGTTCTTGACACGGTAAAAGACGTCCAGGAAGTCAAACGCGTCGTCCTCTTCTCGCTTTGTCGCGGCAAAGTACTGGCGCTGGACGCGCGTGAGGTTCACGAGGAGGCGGGGGAAATCATCTGGCAGGTCGGGCGACGTCTGTGGCTGGTGCTTCCACTCGTCCACTTCGTCCACTTTGTCGCTACTTTTGAGACATGAACGTGAAGGCACTTCTGTCATCCAATCGCGGTCTTCCCATGACTCGTCGTCGTCACCAACCGTTCGTTCGACGCTTTCGTTGCCCTTAGGTTCAGAGGCGGGAGAGAGCGTCTGGGGGCGGTACGAGGTCGGCAACGAGAAACGCATGGTCATGGAGGAGTCGGCGATGACGCGCACGGACCGTCTGCAATCGGCCTTCACTGGGTGTGACAAGACCTCCATCTTCGTCTGCATGACGTTCGATGTTCTAGTGGACGTTATGTTAGTGGACCCGCTCGGTGGACGAAGTTGGGTTTTATGGGAGAGACGCTGGATAATGGTTTTTGGGTGTTTTTCAGTGTTTGGGTGCTTGGGTTATACTTGGTTGGCTGGCCATGAAATCGTTGCCAATATATTTTCGATTTTGTCAGTATCCTTACGTACTTGATCGGCTTGGTCATGGAATAGGTAGGGTTTTTAGCTGTACTGTCAATCAGCTCATAGGGTTATCGCTTCTTTTCAGCCGATCTTTACACAAAGATGCGAGAAATTATTTCTCATAAAGAAATCAAAAATGCTACGCGCAGTCTGATGGTGGGTGATGCGAGCTTTGCTGTCGCCTCGTGCTAGTACATTCGGGATGAAGATATCGGCTTGCGTAACATAAGGCAGAAATGCTCGCACCGTGATTCGTTGCATGGCCATTACGCGTGGGTTGCTTACTTTAATTTTTGAATGTGCATACAAAAGCAAAAGTGATTGGCAGCGGTTTTTATTTGTTTTAAATCGATGAGAACCCTACTTATATTTGAAACTTTCGAAGAAGTTAATTATGCACACACCTTCAACGACCAACGGACTTCAATGTCGATTAGCGAATGAGTTGGTTAGCAAGCTATTTCTCATCGATCTCAAGCTTTCATGGGTTTGAGATACTATGATAGATATCATAGATCATTCATAATTTCTCCGTTTCAACATGTTTGTTCCTTTCCAAAAAAACAAAACATAAGGTCATTTTTATAGCCTGATTAGCTAATACATCCCGAAATAAAGCTTATTCTGCGCCCTTTCAGCCAGCGTTAGTCCCGTATTTTCCCAGCAGCCGCAAGCCGAGAAGTAAACACTTGAAAACCCATCATTCATGAAAGGTTTGACGCCGGCGTCGATTGCGAAGGGTCGAAGCTACCAATTGTCAAGTGTGAGGGCTTAAACAACAGCTTACTAAAGAGGCTAATACAGTTATGTGGGCCTAAATCTGTCTTAACCACCTGTAACAAATCGCCGTTGCAGCCTGAATTAGTCACAAATAGATAAAATCAATCGTATCATTTTAAAGAGTAGGCAGCATACTGTGGCTATCGTAAATGGACTGACTTCCTCGTTGCCTTTTTGAATAGTTCTTGCCAAAATGGACAAACTTTATGAAACAAAAGTCGCTCGATTTGAGACAAAGACAATGAAACAGAGGGAGTAATATCAAGCATTTGGCCGTCATCATTCCTTGTATCGAGAGCTTGCCATACTTTTATGCTGCGCAATCTCCAACATTTTCTTCGTCCATCGTGCTAGTCACCGAAGCAAGTTCTTCTGCGCATAAATCGAACTGTCTGATCGTAGCGTATGCATGGTTTTCAGCATAATAGCTTTAATCGTCACTACGAGCATTGCAAGCGTATGACCTAATTTTCTCCGTTTCCAAGCGTGTACTGGGATGAATCTGGTAGCAATGCAACGACTGTAACACATTCAGACCAAGAAGCGATTACACCTGGATAGCATTGGATGTTTGAAGACAGACATGACGAGATTTGAGCGTCCTGCTTTGCCATAAACCTAATGATGCCGTTGTGCGCAGAAGTTGTTGTGAACCCGTAATTTGGTACCATCTACACAAATAGTCGTGTCCTAAATTGCCGACTTGTATTCATCTGCCCTTTTTTAGAATCGACTTGACATGAGTTTATTCGTAAATGACGCCGCATGCTGGTTCATCTCTTGAACACTATCGAACAGTGAAGTCAATCGACTAACGCGATGACACATATTGTTGTAGAGATGCACTACTTTCAACGATGTGGTTTGCCCCAATGTAGATGACGAAAGGCAAGTATTCGATTCAATCTGTTTCTTCCTGCACGGCAAGCAAAACACTTCTAGCTTATGTGAAAACAGAAAGGCTCGAAGTGAACGTACGTCACCGAGCTCGAACTTCTCTTGTCCACGGTAATTCGCGCGTGGGCTGCTCGCACTTTAGTTACTTTTTCCTCAACGACGCAAGGTACGATCCAAGAAACTTCTGCACGTTGTCCGTTTGCACAAAATTCGTAAAAGCTTCAAGATCCTTTTCACGGACCGCCAACAGCCGGTCCGCAGTCTCCTGACGCATCAGTAGCTTGGTCTGCACGCGAGCCATGTCTATGCACAACCATTACATCAAAGTTAAGCATAGCTTCATCCTGCCAACGAGCGAAGTTGCAAAACTGACACAAACCCGGGATGGCCAGCCACTTTGCCATTGCTGCCTCAGCACGCGGAAGCACTTCTTCAAGTGCAACAGCTTCGTCCACGAGTCCAATCGACTGTGCTTTCGTGGCATCCACTTGCAATCCCAGCCCTAACATCTTCTCAGCCTCTCGATGGCCAATTGTGTTGACAAAGGTGTCACGAAACCACGACGGGGCAACTATACCCAGTTGCGTCTCATTGAGACCAATCAGGGGCTTACCGCTCGTCATGATGCGATAATCACAGCACATGGCGAGCAAACAGCCTCCTGCCGGACTATGTCCTTCGATTGCAGCAACGGCAGCCAGACGTGTCGTGTACAGCCGCAAGTACAGATCTTGAAGCGACGTCCAGAATGTACTGACTTTACTGGGCTGTGTAAAACAAACGATCGTCACGTTGATTCGCGCAGTGTGCAGAAAAGGTCCATACAGGCAAATACTCCCGTACATGTGGTTGGTACATCTCCATAATGTCCAGCCCGGCCGAAAAGACCTTCTGATTCGATGACGCCAGGATGATTCCGCTAGATCAGATCAGAGAGTGCACCAAATAAGACTCTTTCATTTGATATTTGACACGGTTAAAACAGCTGTACTTGTGTACCGCATGCTTTTATCGTCCTCAAGCTGTTGAATCGTCGCGTCGAGTTCTTGAATCAGCTGTTTATCGTTACGAACGTACCCTATCGTCAGTTAGCGTACCCTATCGAGTGCATAAATACGCGTAAACCTTTGCTCTCCCTACCGCCGTATTCAGCGAATTCACGGGAGGACGATGCAGTCGCACAATTGCGTGCTTGTCCTTCTTCTCCACGAGCACGAGGGGGTCGCCCAAAGCAGCGAACGTTCGGCCCGTCAATGCGCCTAGACGCGAAGCTCGTAGCGACAGTCTCGGGCTCAGCGCAGCCGACAGCATCGTCTCGAGGGGTTCTCTAATGTTATGAACAGCCGCGTTAAGGATCTTTGAAATTCCGACGTGCAGATGTGAACGCCGGTTTTATGCCGCACGCTGTCCCAAACGAAGGGTTGGTACCCTCGATATGTTGTGACGTAAGTGTACCCCTGAGGTTTTTCTCAACGGTATATGTACCTGGTGCATACCCGTACCCCTCCCCAACCAACCAACCGTTTTGAAGGAGAAATGGCTACGCTCGAGGGCAAGAAGGTCGGCATTTGCGGCGCCACGGGCGCTGTCGGGATTGAGCTCATCTCCGTGCTCGCAGCGCGTCAGTTCCCCGTCCAAGAGCTCGTGCTGTTTGCCTCGTCCCGCTCGGCCGGTACAAAAGTGTCGACGCCTTTTGGTGACGTGACGATCACGCTCTTTTCCCTTGCAGCAGCTGCGAAACTGGACTACGTCTTCTTGGCTGTGTCGGGGGACTTTTCACTCCAGTATGCCAAGGAACTAGCAGCAGTGAGCAATGGGCCTGTGGTCATTGACAACTCGTCGGCCTTTCGTTGCGACGCGGCGATCCCGCTCGTGATTCCAGAGATCAACGGCCACGTGCTCATCCCAAGACGTGGTCAACCGCCGCCGAAACTCGTGGCGAATCCCAATTGTACGACGGCAATTGCTGCCATGGCGCTATGGCCACTACACTGTGAGTTCCACATTAAGAAGCTGATTGTGTCGACGTACCAAGCTGCGAGCGGTGCCGGTGCTGCTGGCATGCAGGAGCTCCACGATGGCGCCAAAGCCTTTTTGGCGGATGAAGCGGTGACGTGTAAGGTGTTCTCGTACCCACTGCCATTCAACCTCATTCCGCACATTGACAAGTTCCAGGGTAATGGCTACACGAAGGAGGAGATGAAAGTGACGTGGGAGACGCGCAAGATCTTTGACGAACCTCACCTGGCCGTGAGCTGCACTGCTGTTCGGATTCCTGTCATGCGTGCTCACTCGGAAGCGCTCACTATTGAGACAGTCAAGCCTGTGGACTTGGCCCGGGCTCGTGAACTGCTGGCCAAGGCAGATGGTGTGGATCTCGTTGACGTGCCGGAGGAGCTGCTGTATCCGATGCCCAAGAATGCTACCAAGAAGTTTAACGTTGAAGCTGGTCGATTGCGCAAGAGCCTGGTCTTTGGCGACCATGGACTTGAGCTGTTTGTGTCGGGCGACCAGCTTTTACGTGGTGCAGCATTGAATGCTGTGCTGATTGCTGAGTTTCTCGAGAACCCGCGGACGACTTCGCAGTTTACAAAGAAACGTACGATGTGTGCGATCTCGAAGGAACCCCGTCGGAATCTTCTGGGTGTCATGGCTGGTGTTGCTGTAGGTGTGCTGGCGTTCAGCCTTTACAAGAAGAAGTGATTTGGCGGAAGACACTTATTGCTGGTGTCGTTCTTGTCGACACCATATTGTTGTCACACCTGGTCTTACTTGTTGCTGCTGATTCACGTGCTCGTAGAAGCCGCACTGCTAACACTGTGAATAGTTTCGGCTACCGTCTTGAGTCCGTTGCACTGCTGCTCCATGTGCTCACGATCGTTAAAGCTGACAGCCAAAGTGCGACCACGCGAGCATTGCGTCATGCACTTCCTGCACCACGTATACGATGGCGACTACAGTTCGTGAAGGTCAGAAGTGTACTCGTTCATTGCAGCTCCTACACTTTGTAGTCATCATGTGACGTGTGACAAACGGCTTCGTACGTCTCAGAATACGATGTACATCGTCGACATGCTTCCTACTTCTTTGATGGCTGGTTACAATGCAGCGGGGAGTGAAGACCTCACTCTTCCTGCCATCCGAGGCGCTTTGATCGCAGCCTCAAAGCTCATGCCGCTAAGCAGCACGTGGACGTTAATGTCCTTTACGTCCCCGCGTTGTTTGTTCGACTTACCCGCCGTGGTCACGCTCACTTCAACTTGAGCGACCAATAAGTAAAGAGTGCCACATGCCGAACTGGACGACGCTCGTGACTGACTGAAAGTGGCTACATCGAAGCCTACCTGTCTCGTTGTACGTGGCATGAGTTCACACTGCTGCTGCTGACTTGGCTAATTTGACGGTGCGTGATGGGTACACGCTCACGCGGACAAAAGATGAACCCATGTGGATCTCGACTGGCGATCCGCGCGTCTGTCCGTCCCTTACTGTGTGTGCACCGAGCCTATTTACAGCGAATCGGTGGCCGGAGCCGTGCGACCCCTCAGCCACCCACCCGCCTTCTCAATGGGTGAAATTGCGTCGAGACGTCACCCCATTCAGCCAATCCGCGATCGCCACTAGGCCGCTATCGAATTGACTGGCGCCAGAGCCTCTCCCCTCCCCCATTCCTTTTTGTGCGCACGAAGCCTCACGAAGCAGACCGAAGTTGCAACATGGCAGAAGGAGGTGCGTCAACCGAGCGGGGGACGATCGCTCCCGAGCTCTGCACGTAGCACATGCGACAAGACGTGACAGGCTCTCTTACCGTTTACTATCTAGCTGGCGACATCCACTTGTCCCGTCGACTCACGCCCTCTGTTTCTGATTCCATTGTTGCACGAATGTTGCTCCACAGGACGATCCACCTACGTACCACCTCACATGCGCGGAGGCGGTTCAAATACCGACCGACGGGAAAATACCGACCGTCCCGGCGGGTTTGAAGACCGGCGAGGAGGAGGCCGCGGCGGCGACCACCGTGGCGGCTCGCGCGAGCGCGACTACAGCAACCGCAGCAGCGCACGCGACCATGGTGACGCGCCCCCTCGAGCCACCAACTCGCGCTGGTCCGGCTTTGAGTCGGACCGTCGAGGCGGCGGCGATACCGACGACCGTCGCGGTAATACCGGTTACGGTGGCGGTGGCGGCGGCGGCGGGTATAGCCGGGGCGGCGGTCCCCGCGTCAATGAGATGGGCTACCACGGAGACCTGCGGCCTAACGAGCGCCTTGAGCACGAACTCTTTGGCGACGCCAAGTCGTCGGGTATTAATTTTGACAAGTACGACGACATTCCCGTGGAAATGAGTGGCGAGAACGTGCCCGAGCCCGTGAAAGAGTTTGCCCCCGAAGAATTGGGGCCCGAGGTCATGCGTAACCTGGAGCTCTGCAAGTACTCGAAGCCTACGCCCGTGCAAAAGTACTCGATCCCGATTGGCCTAGCAGGTCGAGATATGATGGCATGTGCCCAAACGGGCTCGGGTAAAACCGGCGGCTTTTTGTTTCCCACGCTGGCGGCTATGCTGCGTGTAGGAGGCACGCCGCCACCGGACGTCGGACACGGCCGCTCCCGCAAGATTTTTCCTGCGGCGTTGATTCTCTCGCCGACACGTGAACTAGCGTCGCAGATTCATGAAGAAGCCAAGAAGTTCTGCTACTGCACGGGCATTGCTCCTGTTGTGATTTACGGCGGGGCTGAAGTAGGTCGTCAGCTTCGTGAACTAGAGCGTGGATGTGACATGCTCGTTGCAACGCCCGGTCGGCTGGTCGACCTCATGGAGCGCGGCCGCATCTCGCTGTCGTGCATTCGATTCTTGATTCTTGATGAAGCTGATCGCATGCTGGACATGGGATTCGAACCTCAGATTCGTCGCATTGTGGAGCAGGAAGACATGCCCCGGGAGCGCCAGACGTTTATGTTTAGTGCCACGTTCCCGCGTGAAATCCAACGTCTTGCCTCGGACTTTTTGCGTGACTACATCTTTTTGACGGTCGGTCGTGTAGGATCAGCGTCGAAGGACGTGAAGCAGACGGTGGAATACATTGAGCAGCACGACAAAGAGGACTACCTTGTGCGCTTTTTGAACCAAGTGCAAGATGGCCTGATTCTGGTGTTTGTGGAGACGAAGCGTGGGGCTGATTTCCTGGAAGACATGCTGTGTCGAGAAGGGTTTCCAGCTACGTCGATTCACGGCGACCGTTCGCAGCGGGAGCGCGAGCAGGCTTTGGCCAGCTTCAAGTCGGGTCGTACCCCGGTTCTTGTCGCTACTGACGTGGCTGCACGAGGTCTTGATATTGATGGTGTAACGCAGGTCATCAACTTCGATTTACCCAACAGCATCGACGACTACGTCCATCGTATTGGTCGAACTGGTCGTGTGGGTAACATTGGTTACGCCTTATCGATGATGAACGAAAAGAATCGCAACATTGCTCGCGAGATGTACGAACTGATGTCGGAAAACGGACAGGAAATTCCGGCATTCTTGGACCAGATGGCAAACAGCGGCTTTCGCGGTGGAAGTGGCGGTCGCGGCCGTGGTGGCCGCGGTGGTCGCAGCGGGTCCCGATTCGGTGCAAAGGATTACCGTAGCGAAGAGCGTGGAGGCGGTGGTGGTGGCCGCGGTGGTTACGGTGGCGGTGGTGGTGGCGGTTACGGTGGTGGTGGCTACGGCGGTGGCGGCGGTGGCGGCTACGGTGGTGGCGGTGGCAGCAGAAGCGGTGGATCTCGCGGTGGAGGCTTTAGCGATGACAACAGCGCCTGGTAAATTACAGTCGACACGGAGATGGCAAGTAGTTGTCCGCCATTTGAATAATTGGAGCAACGAGCGAGCGTGTTGTGCCGTTGGCCCTCGTGTCTTTCACCGACGACCAAGACTCGTGGCGTTTCTCCATCTTTCGTAGCGCGGAGAGCCGGAAGAAAGCTTCCTGCGATGTACAAGTAACGTCAGGTGCCCTCACAAAATCTTGCTTGCTGCTGCCCTTGTTTGTGGTGGGCGCGAGTCGGGATATTAGGATACGTGATGACCATTTTGCTAGTGTGTATTATAAGGCAGCGGTTCTTCTCAGAAATAAACCATCTTACACAACCAATTGGTGGAGCTGTGCCGGCGTGTCCATCCTCTAAAGAGCTAGGCAGATAGATGCCTACAAATCTACCTCCGATTATGCAACCAGGTACGTTGCGCAAATCCACTGCAATCGCCATAGTAGAGATCAAAAGAGATGATGAAGGCACCACGAGCCATTGTGAATCTTTTATCGGATACTGTGACCCGTCCCAATGCTGCTATGCGGCAGGTGATTGCAGCAGCAAAAGTGGGTGACGATGTGTTTGGTACCGATCCGTCTGTTAAACAGCTCGAGAAACTAGCGGCTGAGCGTCTAGGCAAAGAAGCAGCGCTTTACGTGCCTTCGTACGTGCACTGTGTTGAATCAATGACTGGCTGGGGATCGCTTTTGTACTTTTCATAATAATGTTTTCCTCATTCTGTAGCGGCACCATGTCGAATCTCATTGCCATCGGCACGCACTGCAGTCGTGGAGACGAAGTCATTTGCGGGAACCGAGCACACATTTTTCTCTACGAAGGTGGTGGAGCTAGTGGTAAGTGCAGACTACGCTTGAGTCGATTTTGTATTGCCAAGTTGTTCGTATCGAACCATGTTCTGACTTGTAACTTGTCGTGTCATTTCTGGCATTTTGCAGCGTACATGGGAGTGGGTTTGCACACAGTACCCAACCAACCGGATGGAACGCTCGCGATCCAAGATATGTTGAATGCCATCCGCAGTGATGATCCGCACTACCCGCGTTCGAAACTTGTAGCGATCGAAAACACACAGAACTTCTGTGGTGGTCGCATTTTGCCTCTCGCATACATTCGCGAAGTCGAGCAATTCTGCCACGAGCATGACCTCCGTCTTCATGTTGATGGAGCCCGACTGGCAAACGCAAGCGTAGCGACTGGGATTCTGATGGACGCATTGGTCAGTGGTGCCGACTCGGTATCACTCTGTTTGAGCAAGGGATTGGGCGCTCCCGTGGGCTCGATCCTTGCAGGTTCAAACAAGTTCATTCATCGTGCCACCCGTCTCCGCAAGTCACTTGGTGGAGGAATGCGCCAAGCTGGTATCATTGCGGCTGCAGGATTGTATGCGCTAGAGCACCAGTTTGATCGCCTCGTGGAAGATCACGTCAATGCTCAGGCTTTTGCCCACGGGATTGCCACGATACCGGGTATCGAAATCGACCCTGACGATGTCGACACGAACATTGTTTTCTTCAAAGTACCAGTGGATGCTAAGCTGGATGCCATGGCATTGACAGAGAAGCTCGAGAATGAAAAAGGAGTGCTTGTGGGTGGGTATGCGGATGGCAACCGCATTCGAGCAGTGACGAATTTGCATGTGTCTAGCAATGACATTGACTACACTATAGCAGCAATTCGGCAACTAGTGCTTAGCTGAATAGTGGGAGTGGACTAGTCTAGCTTGTCAGGATCTCTTCACACACGTAGCTTCAACATATTGCAGTAAACGCGCGACGACAGGAAAATACTTGGCCAATTTGTCCTGCAAGACGAAGTAATAGAAAAAGTGCATGAAAACTGATGTCTGTAGTCCTTAATCAATACCACGTGCATACAACTCTTGAGCGGGATAGTATCGAACCACAATCGAAAACGCTAAGAGCTATCCACAAGAAGCGTATTTCAGTCGACCCGCTCTCATTAACAACAAAGATACTGCTAAGTATCAGGTACAACACGGCAGTTTCGTGCGATTGCTGAAGTCTGTACCTTTACATACTTGACATACCGATGGCAGTGCCATTTAGTCGACATGATACTTAGAATCAAACGCAACATCGAAACCGTTGCATTAGACTAGCCGTGTATAACTGCGTAGGGTACAACATTTACATGCTTCGTGTAGAGTCTCCCAGAAGCTTTTCCACTCATTGTGGTAATCGATACTAGTACAAAGCTTCCTGACCGTACTGTATGCATTGCATATACTCGACTTATTGCTGCATCCTTCACGAGGTGACTGACGCCACACTTGTACATACATAGTCCCGAACCTTCTTGGGACTGCGTACAAGAAAGTTGAATGTGATTGCGTTTATGGTCGTTCTTACTGGCACTGTCCCGGTATCGGCAACATCGAGAGGCCACGTTCATGTCGATGACAATGCTGATATCTCAATGATTTAGTGATGATTGAGGACGTACGAGATGGCAGCTGCGTGGTCTCGTTTCCCATACCCGACAATTCGAGCTTTGTATCAGGCAAAGACCCAGCCGTACCTTCATCTTGTCCTTGACATGGTCTCATTCTCCTTCGTCGAAAGGCTTCTTAAGGTTCATGTAGTCAAGCTGGATTCAGCGTGTGGTGACTGGGGAGCAGCGTGGCAGCTCCTATAAACCTTACGTCCTTGTTGTGGTTCCTCCCGATGCCTATCGTGAGAATATTACACCGGACTCTTCACTTGCTTTGTTTCCAGCGATGGTGCGTAAATGTTACATACACACAAAAGAGCATCGTCAACACCCCTACGTTGACCCACATGTCAGCGTCCATGTACTTCCAGCTCTAGAGAGAGCGGCGACAGAGTTATTTGATACGCTTCACACCTGCTCAAGACCATACCCACACAGTCGTGAATCTTTAGGGATACTCGGAAAGGACCAACTGACGGTACACACAGGGTCTAGTGCTTCAACCCACCACTTCTTATACTGGGGATAAAACGATGGTGTGCGCAGACAGTTCGTTCACGAGGATTTTGCTCCTTTGATGCACTTTCATTCAAGGCCAGATCATAGCATTAGATACTCAACCTGGTGTTGAAATGAGGAGAGCGTAGCTTCATGACCCGTCGGCTTGTCACCACTGAAATGTAGCCAGTGGTCCATGACATGTGGCAATTTTTAAACACGCTTGATACATACGGCACGTCTAGCTATCCTTGAAAAGACACACCGTCTATTGAGACTACGCGATCGATAGTAAATGTATGCTATTACACTTGTGTATGAACGTGGCAACTAGTCCTAGAGCGGGCGCCCAAGTGAATCATATTGAATTATCCATGACTTTCTAGGGATTTTGTGTTGCGCCTTCCGCTTATAATCTCCTCACGCCACAATCACACGCGAAAAGCAAAACATTCAGCCGTTGAGAATAGGCTCTTGTGTGTGTGAGTGTGTTCAAACACGCAATATTGCACGCAAAGTGCTCGCGAAAGCATGGGACTGAAAAAATGATACAATGGATGCACCACATCATAGTAACGTGGAACATGAGTCCATGTTACCGGACATTTTCGAATTTAATCGGTAAAGTATCGAGGATTGTGGACATGTGTCATTCAAAGCTTTCGTCGACTGGTGTTCAACACAAAGTTAAGACACATGGAAAGCTGCTATACACGATCCATCACGATGCGAAAGAGAATATGCGCTACTAAGTGTACGAAAGGATTTTGCACCTTAGTTGAAGAGGATTGTAGCACTACCGGTAACGCACAGGTTTTCATGACTGTAGTATCCAGCTACGGTTCTCCATCATAGCATACAGGCTCTTGAGAAGATGGCAAGAATCACTAACGATTGCTCGTAGAGTACATATATCCACAAGTTGCAGCAATGGAATCGATACCACGAGACATCATTGCGGGCGACGCGTTGATGATTTTTGCTCCTTGAAATTCGAGTCCTTGTGAACAACATTTACAATTCAAGTAATCCTGTTCAACTGTTAAAATAAACCTGAGGTTTTGACGCTTTCCACGTAGAATCACTCGTATAGCTGGAGCACTAATTCCGTACCGGACGGTAAATTATTATTCGTCATGCAACTACGCCATGTAGGTGCAGGTCACCATAAGCCTTGCACTCACATTTTCAATTCAATCGTCCTAGCTTTTGCGCACACAAGATACTCGGTTGGAATGCTTGCTTTAAACAACAGCAGAATGGCTGTAGCAATTTCGAATTTCCAACTGAATTTCATGGCCAGCCAACCAAGTAAAACCCAAGCACCCAAACACTGAAAACACCCAAAAAGCCATCATCCAGCGTCTGTCCCATAAAACCCAACTTCGTCCACTGAGCGGGTCCACTAACATAACGTCCACTAGAACATTGAACGTCATGCAGACGAAGATGGAGGTCTTGTCACACCCAGTGAAGGCCGATTGCAGACGGTCCGTGCGCGTCATCGCCGACTCCTCCATGACCATGCGTTTCTCGTTGCCGACCTCGTACCGCCCCCAGACGCTCTCTCCCGCCTCTGAACCTAAGGGCAACGAAAGCGTCGAACGAACGGTTGGTGACGACGACGAGTCATGGGAAGACCGCGATTGGATGACAGAAGTGCCTTCACGTTCATGTCTCAAAAGTAACGACAAAGTGGACGAAGTGGACGAGTGGGAGCACCAGCCACAGACGTCGCCCGACCTGCCAGATGATTTCCCCCGCCTCCTCGTGAACCTCACGCGCGTCCAGCGCCAGTACTTTGCCGCGACAAAGCGAGAAGAGGACGACGCGTTTGACTTCCTGGACGTCTTTTACCGTGTCAAGAACACGCTGCACGAGCAGTGTACGCCATTTGTTGAAGTGCTCTTTGAACACCGTACGTACGTACGTACGTTGCCTGTCTCGTCTGCCGCGGTCTCTTCTGTTGATGTGCAAGCGCAAGACTGAGGTTCTGTTTTTCTCTACTTCTTCTTTTTCGACGGTTCTATTTTTGCTGTGGTTCTATTTTTGGCCTGGGGGTTGTGGACAGACTGGGGGTTCCACTGCACCTACGGCATGTCGCGTGCACTGCTGGACGGTCTGCACACCGCGTTCCCAACCGACGTGTTGGCCTTGGTGGACTACCCGCCGGCCATCGATGGCGTGCCGCTGCACGAGTTCCTGTACACGTTGTCGAGTCCGTCGAGATGGAAAAGCGTCGAGTACTTGCGGACTTGTCTGTGTCGGTGCTCGCGCGATATGCGGTGGAAGTGCGACGTGATGAGGGAGTTGGAGCTGCTGGCCGAAACGGAGGCCGCGCAGTATGAGACGAGGCAGCAACAACAAAGCGACGAGATCGAGGAGGTTCGTCTGCTCTCGTACTACTGTTGCTACTGCTCCTTTTTTGCAGCGTGTCTGCTGCTGCTTGACCTTTTTTTGTGGACCGTCGTCCTGACTCGTCTGTGCTTAGCTCACGCGGTTGCGCGACTCGTTCCGGGCCAAGTTAGAGACGATAGTGCCGAGTCGAGAGAGGAAACTGCGTCCGGGACGACAGCAGTATGTCCTGATACTGCGGAAGCTGGAGGATGTCGAGAACCGGTTGATGACGCTGCTGGATGCGTTTCTGAAAGAGCCCGAGCTGGACGAAGAAGAGTATCGCAGTGCGTTTGACAGTCCTGGTGGAGAAGGTGGCGTCGCTGTGGGTACGAATGTGCTGGACATGGTGATTGCCATGGTATTCGGTCGCCTGCCTCGTGATTTCAGTCAGCAGACCACAACGGAAGAGCATTTCCGGATGCTTTTCGACCACCATATTCAGATACTGCGGCTGTGGAAGAAGGACTTTGGACGGCTGCCGTTGCAGTCTCGAGTGGCAGCGCACGACGAAGGCGCTCGAGGTTCAGACGCCGGTCGTACGTTTGGGTCGTTACGCGAGGAGCGAGCTGTTCTTGATGTGTCGGACGGAGAGAGCGTGGCCGAGCTTACTGAGGAATGTCTAGTAAAGGATGGTGCTGTTGGGAATTTGGATGGAGCGTCACTCCGTTGCGACGTTACATCGGAAGACATTGGTCAAAGTTGCGAAGGAGCAAACGACAGCAAGACATTGTTTAACGACGATTCAGACGGTTACGGTGCTGATTCTGATAGTGACGCAAGCGAAGACGATGTCGGCGAAGTTACAGTAGCGCAAATCCAGAGGCATCAGCTGAAGCGTGTGCCGCCAAAGCTTGGCGAAGCAGAAACGGGTTGTAGACTGGACGGACCACGACGAAGACGCATGAAGCACCCGAGACGTGCAACAAAATTGCACAAGTCGAAAGCGGATCGTTGTGAGAGCGATGCTGAGCGTCAAGCTGCGTCATTCCAGCCATTTGCATGCACCGGAGCGGTGAAGTTGCTTCGTCAAGCCAAAGAAAAGGAACTGTTTTGAATTGCGATGGAGGTGGAGAAGAATGGATCGCTGCGTCAGTATGTCAATGGTCACTGCGCTATTCGAATTGATAGCTCAGTTTGTCCGAAGAAAGAATGCGGTGTCGATAAGTGTCTCGCCTCATGCTTTGTTCTAGAGGAAGCACTTGATAATGCAACCTTTCCGTCTCCTGCTGAGACCATCAAGATGGCTGTAGCAAGAGCTACTGCCAAATCTCGTTGCGGTTGTCACTGTACTTGAAGGAAGCTGTCCAATTCGAAAGCTTCGTGGAGCAGAGATATCGTTGGTGAGGTTGTAATTGTCCCGAGGCAGCTGGGTGAAGGGTGGTATTCAGCACGGGTGAAGAAAATATCCTCAGGATTGACGAGATGGCCCAAGACTCTTGGAAGAAAGGGGACGCGAGTTCTGGTAGACTCAACATTGTTGTCATCCCTACTTCGTACGATATTGCAGACATGGGGGCGATATGCGGCACACTGTCCTGCGGGGTCTTGATGTCAGTTACGATCAGCAGTGTGTTGACCGGGCGAATTGCAGTATCTGCTTTGGCCATGACGTAAAAAAATTGCTAGTGCTCGCGGATGCGGTTGTTCGACATGTCAGCGTTTGATTTCAAGTCTTCTACGTATGTTCATTCGATGGGTTTACATAGAAGTCGAGTGACGCCACCAGAATGTGCACTTTGCGTCCTTGGGACAGCATTGACATGAGACGTGCTTTCCAGTCAGATGCCGTCAAAACCTGCGTTCCATAAGCAAAGTGGTTTGTATGATGTTTCGCTCGTCTGACTAAACCGTCCCTGATGAAAACGAGTATTTGGTATTTGCGAGCGAGGTTCGTTCATGGATGCTATGTATTGTTCCTATCTCTGGTTTGCACGTGACGGATGAGGGAAAAAGCCGTGAAGAGCTGCCGGACGCAAGAGAGCCACATTCTTATCGTGAAACGTGACGTACCTTTCTATCATCGAGGCCTCAATCTCCTCAGCAAGACTGGCGCCAGCTTTAACCGGTCCGGGAGCAATGGGCCTCACACCTTGCATCACCCACCTGCTAAACAGCTCTTTCTCCAACTCATCTATGAGAGGCATGTTTACCAGCCTCGCGTATCCAAGCAGCATTGCAAAATCATGGTGGCCGGGTCTCTTTATCAAGCTGTCGCAGATGTAGGTTTCTCCAAGACGGCTGATTTCCAGCAGTAGGGCAGATCCGGTGACCATTCCCATTTGTTGGTACGCCAACACACGCTTTGTCTTTGCTGACATCCCAACGTCATCGGTCTTCATACCACTCTCCAGCAGCTTGTGCAACAGTTCCCCTTGCATGTCCTGCGCTGCGACCCGATAGAATGGACTGACCTTTGCAGTCCACAATACAGCTGCGAGTTTGTCCTCACCTCCGAAGCCTTTGATGAACGTGTCTAGCAACGTGACATGGGTATTTATCTTCCCGTTGTACAGCAAGATATACGCCTTCAGCACCTCGAGGTTTGGGGATGCAAAAGGGTTGATCAAAATGCCATCGCTACCCACATCCCCTGCAATCGACAACTCCGTGAAGACGTCGTCAGGATGCACTTTGGCTTGTACCCACTCCTCTCGCTTTGCCTCCATATCCTTGGCTATCTCCAGCTGGTGAATTTTTAACGATGAATAAACAGATGCAAGAACCTGGTTTCTTGTGTGCTCACTCTCGGTTATCATTCGCTCATAGAGCTGTCCGTATTCATGGACCCCCACTGAAGTTGCAGGATGCTTCACTTCATGTCCTCCGCATAACCTCTTGAGATGAAGCTCCATCGTATCCATATCGATAGACTCCAACTGTGTCCTGACAGATTTGGTCAGTGCGTTCGTACCTACATCATGGGAGTGCAAGGTGACCACCAGCGCCGCAGCTGCCGTCTTTATCACTTTTTCATCCGTTCCAAGCACTGGAGGTGGCGCTCTCTCTTCTGCAGGCATGGTTCCATGTAGCCTCCCCAATGGCCGCTTGACAGGGTCGCCATCGTGGCGATCGTCAGCAGATAGACCGCTGATTGAAAGGTTGGTTTCTGCCACCGACAAACCACGTACCCTCGAGGAATCCGTATTGCGAGTGAGAGTCACAGTGCAAAACACGAGTGCGAAAAGGTGCAGACGCATCGTTGGGCGCGTTGTTTTCAATTTGGGGACGGGGTGGCAAAATCCAAAGTGACGGGAAGCATGACTGACCGAGCTATCGACTGACCTGCAAGCAAGAGCCCGATTATGTCCATGGAGGCCAAACAGTTTTCCAGACTCGGGTCATTGTTCTTCCCGCTTGTATAAAATTGTAGCTTTGGCGATCGCAGCTGCTTTGTAGAAAGTAGCACATCCTTTTTTCCCAGTCAATCCTGAACGTTGATTACGTGCTTCTGCCTTTTATGATATCCGTGTGCTACATCATCATCATCATCATCATCTCCTCATTAGCTTCGTCTGCTCGCCTCGACTCTTCGTACATCACGGGGGACACTTCGCAGAGGGCGTTGACGTTGCAGGAAACACCGAGGGAGGTCCCGACCGATCGCCCCCGATGGGCCACTGACGCGTCTGGACTGAGCCAACCTTGATCACGTTCCAGGCAAGTTCGCTTCTTAAGGCATAACCGCTATTGCCGTGCCCCTCACCTCAGGGTGTCTTGGTTGTTGCGCCCCTTTCGGGTTGCACGCTGCGCTGCCTCCGAAGCGCACGCAGCGGCAAGAAGGTCTCGCCCCAATAATCTGGGCCCCACGATAGGATAGGAGGACACTTTCCACCCAGGGTAAGAAGGCCGGTCGCCCGGCTCTTTGGAGGTCTTCGTCGCTTGACTGTTGTTACACCCGAAGGCGCGATCGGGAAGTGCAAGTAGCACGTCTCTTGTGCTGCCTGAACTCTGCTAAGCCCAATCCTCCCACTTGTGCTATGGACTGATTCCTACCTTGTGGTCGGTCTTGTACACGACTAAAAACTTGAGGAGATGTGGAGGGAAAATGGACAGCGACTTTCTTCTTCCGTGAAACACTCGTGCTCCATTTCCTGAATGCCTCGCCAGCCTGATACGGCGGGTGACTGCGCGTCCTTGTACCGATCCACAAAACGTCTGTCTTCCCCATCCTCGAGTCCATCTCAACAATTGCGTCAATCAGCATTGACGTAAGCGCTTCGTGGGCGAAGGGCCTGCTTTGCACGAATTACCACCGGTTCACTGGAACTGTCACATCACTCACGTCACCGTTGCTTCAACTGTGTCAATGCTTGTCGCGCTGCTGTGTTCGACCCTCACGATTCAAGTGGAGCCACATACATGCGGGGATCAAGCTTCCCATCTTACTCGTGTATGCAGTAGAACGGGGAGCCCCACGTACACCAAAGCACGAAAAATATAACACCAAGCACAGCAGACTGGTGGCTATGTCGCGGCAGTAGCGCCATGGCATGGCATGCCGTCGTCCGACCTGATGTACGAGCATGGCATCACCACAGGATATAATGTCGTGGCCCTCATTAAATATCGACGTTATATGTGCATTCGATCAGCATTGGCAATGTCGGCAGATTCATGTGCGTGGAACGTCCCCATTGTCATGACGATCATCCGCAGTACGAGCCGCATTCGTCACGACGTAGACGAGATATCGTCGCTAGTTTCGCACTGGAATAGTACCGCCGACACGCAATTGTTGCTGCAGCGATTGCAAACGACAACAAGTACGCACCAAACCGAGTTATCGTAGCACTTAATCGCTTCACCTTTCGCTTAGTTCGCCATTTGATAGCACTAAAGCAGCTCCTGTAGTTGACTGTCGTGTGTTCATTCACTCATTTATTCATTCATCCACCTTCTTGACTGGCAGCAGCATCAACTTGCAGCTAAATGAGACCTGCACATCCTGTCGATATGCGACACACTGTCATGTCCCATGCAATGCGTTCCAACCTGTAGCCACTTTCTTTCCAGTCCCTATCCCATCCCATGGGTTTTTATGTCGTCGTCGGATCGCTCACATGCTGGACGACGGGACTGTCTATACCCGCCATGTCGACCACACGAATCGTCGCAGCCAACCAAATCGTGGCCATGTCACGCCTAGCGCGTCAGTGTCTCTTTTGCTTTTCCAGGGTACAGAATGGAGCCACTTGGCGCAGGTAAAGGCCATCGCAAGCCCCAGGCTGGCGCCAAGGTGAACAAACAGAAGCGCAAAGCGTTTGAGAAGCAGAAAAAGGAGCAACCTTCCCTAGCGGAGCAGCGCAAGAACCCCAAGGCTTTTGGAGTCACGAAAGCTGGTCGGGCGCGCAAGACGATTCAGCGCAATTTAGACCGGGCACACCGCAAAGAGTATGTCCCGCAACATGATCGAGGCGAAGAGCTGCCACCTCCTGTCTCCGTGGTGGTCATGGGTCCACCTGGCAGTGGCAAGAGTACTGTCATCCGTTCACTAGTAAAGCGGTACACGCGCCACAACCTCGTGGACGTAAAGGGTCCAGTCACAGTCGTCAGTGGCAAAGACCGTCGGATCACTTTTTTCGAGTGTCCGAATGACTTGAATGCGATGATTGACTTGGCAAAGATTGCTGACCTCGTGTTGCTGCTTGTGGACGCGAGTTTTGGCTTTGAAATGGAGACATTTGAGTTCCTCAACATCCTCCAAGTCTCGGGGTTTCCCAAAGTCATGGGCATCTTGACGCATTTGGACGGCTTTAAAAAGAACAAGAGTCTTCGCAAGACGAAAAAGCGACTGAAAGCGCGATTCTGGACGGAGATCTACCAAGGAGCGAAGCTGTTTTACTTTTCGGGCATCTCCGCCTCCAAGTATCCGAAAGGCGAGATTAATAACTTGTCGCTCTACATTTCCAGGATGAAGTTTCGACCGCTCACGTGGCGCAATTCGCATCCATACATGCTTGCCGATCGATTCGAAGATGTGACAGCGCCTGACGATATTCAGCGCAATGCATTGACGGATCGACGGGTGACTTTGTATGGGTATCTGCGGGGAACACACTTGAAACCCGGGATGAAGATGCACATTGCTGGTGCAGGGGATTTCTACATGGACAGCGTGACAGCGATGCCTGACCCGTGCAATATCCCGTCGAGCAAGAAGAGTGCAGATGGCACCGTGAAGAAGAAGCACTTGACTCAGAAGGACACGCTGCTGTACGCGCCAATGTCCGACGTCGGGAGCATCATGTACGACAAGGACGCCATGTACATTAATTTGAGCCAGCTGAACTACACAAACCCGGACACTGGCGATGTTGTGGCTGAGGAGCAAGACTTGAACGACACAGACGGCACTACTGCCAACGGCGTACGGATTGGACTGGGTGGCGAAGGTGTGGAAATGGTTCAGAGTATGCAGAAGATGGACGTTGGTCTCGACGAGAGGCTGAAGGGAGCGAGTTTGTCATTGTTCAAGGGCACCACTGCTATTCGCGCGGACGAAATAGACAGCGAAGAGGAGTGTGATAGCGATGATGACGATAGCGAAGACGGTGACGATGATGATGAGGATGACAATGGACAGCCCACCATTGGCAACCCCAAGGAGATTCTTGTGTGTGACGGCTCTGGCCGGATGCGTCGACGAGCAGTGTTTGACGAGGGCGAAGAGTCGAGCAAATTGATGGAAAGCGGTGCTGTCGCCGACTCAGATGACGGTAGTGACGACGAAGACGAAGACGAAGAGGAAGAAGAGCAAGTGGTCACCGAAGAGCAGTCGAAGCTGCGGTGGAAGGAAGACATGGTGTCTCGTGCCGCTGCCAACTTTTTTGAGCGTGAGCAGGCTGATGTCAACCTGATGGAGTTGGTTTACGGGGAGCGCCAGAAGCTTCACATCACCGAGCGTGAATTGGAAAACGAGGAGAATGCTGCTCCAGCGGATGATAGCGACGATGACGAGAACAGCTTCTTTCGACTCAAGCGCAAGTCTGATGCATCGGGATTGTCTTCGTCATCATCCGAACGATACAACGCTGTCAATGCAATGGATTGCTCACGTTTGCACTCGGGTTTCGGCGACGAGCGTGACTGGGCGAATACTGATATTCTCGAGAGCATTCGTGACCGATTCGTGACTGGATCATGGAAACGTGTGAACAAAAAGAGCAGCAGCGATGACTACGAAGAGGATGTCGATGCTGATCCCCTGAATGATGACGATATGGACGGTTCGTTTGAAGATCTAGAGAATACCGGGGTGCCCACAGATGCCGAGAGTGAAAGGAATGGTGATCGCAACAGCAACGAGGGCAGTGACGATGAGGTGAATGAGGATGAGACTGACGAAAGCATTCGCGAGCGTCTTCGTGCGGAGAAAGCAGCCAAGCAGACTGTAAAGGACAATGACGACGATGTAGAAGAAGGCGGTCGAACAAAAAACAAGGAAGATGAGGATGAAGAAGTGACGGAGGTGATGGTCGAAGCAAAGCGCCTTCGTGAAGAGCAGGCAAAGCGTAATGCCGAGGAGTTTGGTGAAGAAGGTGAGGACATGCGCCTGCAGCTGGAAGGCTTTCGTAACGGGCTTTACGTCCGGATCGAGTTTTCAGGTGTGCCCGCTGAATTCGTTCGGCACTATGATCCTAGAAACCCGATCGTTGTGGGCGGATTGCCGAACATGGAGGACGTCCTAGGGCTCGTACGGATGCGCTTTAAGAAGCACCGTTGGCACAGGAAGATTTTGAAAACCAACGACCCGCTCGTATTCTCTATCGGTTGGCGGCGGTTTCAGAGTTTGCCGCTGTACTCGATCGAAGACACGAATGAGCGTCATCGGTACTTGAAGTACACACCGGAGCACATGCATTGTCACGCTACGATATTTGGACCCATGTGTCCTCCCAACACTGGTGTGCTGGCCTTCCAGACACTGGCTAACAATGCTGAAGGATTTCGGGTAAGTGGCACTGGTGTCGTATTGGAGCTGGACCACAAGTTTGATGTTGTGAAGAAGCTCAAGTTGATCGGTGTGCCGAGCAAGATTCACAAGAACACTGCTTTCATCAAGGGCATGTTCAACACGGAATTGGAAGTTGCCAAGTTTGAGGGTGCTAGCGTCCGTACAGTGAGTGGGGTGCGAGGTCGCATTAAGAAGGCGCTTCGCGGCGAGAAGGGTGACTTTCGAGCTACCTTTGAAGACAAGATCTTGAAGAGTGACCTCGTGTTTTGTCGTACGTGGGTACCCGTGGAGCCCAAGCACTTGTACAACCCAGTGACGTCTCTGCTTACGAACATCAAGGGCTCTAGCAAAAGTACTCTGGGGCTCATGAAAACGACGTACGAGCTGCGCAAGGAGCAGAAGTTGGCCGTCCCTGTCAACCCGGATTCGCTGTACAAACCAATCGTGCGAAAGGAGCGTAAGTTTGCTGCTCTGAAGGTGCCTAAGAAGCTGCAGGCCGATTTGCCGTTTGCTAGCAAACCGAAGGAAGACAAGAAGAAGGGAGTGAAGAAGGGATATCTCGCTAGTCGAGCAGTGGTGCTAGAGCCGGAGGAGAAGAAGAAGTACGGCTTCATGCTGCGTGTGAATACTGTAAGACGTGATCGAGAAGCTACGCGCAAGGAGCGACAGAACCAGCGAAATGCAGACAATCTGAAGCGCAAACAGCGTGAAGGAATGCAGTTTGAAAGCGTGCACAAAGCAGAGAAGAAGGCCAAGTATCGGGCGGAGGGCAAGGACGCCGCTTACCGTGCGAAAAAGACAGCCGCGCATTGATCCACAGGTGTGAATCGACGAATGACTGTAGTTCATCCTGGGACTGCGGTGCTTCATGCACAGCATCCGGTCGAGTAGATATCGTCTCTCTGCTAAGCATCCGCAGTGCAAACATGTAAGTTTCTGCCTTGAGGCTACGACATGGTACTGAAGCAACTGGTGCTACACATTGCTACACAGGCTGCTCGTACGGACTTTCGCGGTATCATGCAAGGCACCTCAGAGCGGACTCGTGGTCGTTTCAAGCAAAACGAACGCATTGTGTGAAGTGCAAGAGACCCAGAGCTATTCAACTACCATTCTTCCTTCGCAGTCAGGTCGGTTGACAGACAACTGCTCCGTGTTCATAGGTGAATTCGACGTATGTTTCGTCCCGAGCTCACTCACATGAAGCCGATCAGCTTCACTGATGCTGTTCGAGGACTTCCTTGTAGCTAGTAAGTGGCGAACGGTAAGACACAAAGATGGACGTGTAGATCTATAGATACGTAAAATGCATTCGCAGTGATCGTCTCGGGTACAGCAAGAAAGATAATCACTCTACTCCACGCCGTCCGTTTGTCGAAATCGCTTCAGGATCCCCATGAAGAACGCTTTGCGGTTGTTCACACGGTCGCTCACGCAACGGTTGAACTCCTCCAGCGCGTTCTTGGCCGTTTCGTAGTCGAACCAGGACAAGAAGTCGATCATTCGATCATCCACATCTTCCTGTTGCAAGTTGTACTGTGGTCCGTCAATGTGGTTCTGAACCAGCGCCTTGGTCTTCTCCACTTGGACGCTGCTCTGCTTCTTCCTCAGCACATCCAGCTTCGTTCGTCGGTTCTCCGAATTGGTGCCACCCCCACTAGCGGTCAACTCGACATTGATCCGACGTCCCTGCAGCAACGTGTGATGCCGCGAAAGCGCTGCGCCCAATGCTTTGCTGTCCTTTACCTCAATGAACGCCATCCCTCTGAACTTCTTGGTCTTCTTGTCCGTCAACATGCGCAGCTTGATCTCCCCCGCTTCCGAAAAGTGGTTCCGGATCATACCTTCAGTCGCTCGAAAGGGCAGCTGGCCAACAAACAGCGTCAAGTGGATACTCTTATGAGCTCCAGAGGCCTCATCTTGTCCGTTTTCCTGACCAGCTCCGGTCATTTTCTTCGGCTCGTGCTTCCGCTTCTTCTGCAGTCGTTGCGTCCCGTCCACTCGTTTGCGCTTCCCCATTGACAGCTGGTCTCGCTGGTTGTCATCGCTCGTCTTGAAGGTAGTCACTTTGTCCGACTCGTGTTGTCCGATCGATCCGACCATCGCTTGTTGCGTGACTTTCTCGGTGCTGCTGCCATCGTTTTGCTCCTGTTGTTGTTGTTGATGCTGCAACTGCTCGCGCAGGAGTCTGCGGCGCTGCTTGGCGTTCAACTTTGTTTCCATTAACCTCACTGTCTGTGAAGGTATCATCTGACAGTCGATTGGGTGGTCAGCAGTGATTTGAACGGCGAATACTAGAGATTTGCTGCGGACCTTCAGGTCGTAGAAGGAAAAGCTGAAGCTTTTACGCTTGGCAATGTGTTGTAGCCTGAGGAGGGCGGTGAAAGGATAAGAGTAGCAGTGGACCAAGAGGTGCACGGCTGGATGAATTACCGCAGAGTAATGCCTCACACTTTGATGAACGTTCTTATGGGATGCACTGCTTCCCTAACTTGAACACCTTTTCGCACCACTCCGCTATCGACATTGATTCAAAACTATGTATCAGCTCAAGCATCGGCACCTCCGATGCCGAGGCTCATTTGATCAGCAATGACACTGAGCCGTAGTCGTAGTAACTGTTGGTTTATTTCCGCGTCAATCGTGACTGGTTTAAGTTTGCTGTTAAACGATTGCTTCGCTCAGGCCAGACGAAGAGGAGTTGACACTCATCACTTGTGTGGATTTAGACCGCAAGTGTTAGTGAGCTGAAATATGGGTCGGTCGATCTAGTGCGCTCGACGTGACTAGTTCGTACGATACCTATCATCGGTATCATGCTCAAGCCAACTCATATCATACGCTACGAGGTGTAAGTACAGGAGAACTGTTAGCATGTAGATCAGAAAAGTGGGTACTCCGTCTGTTGGCACCTCTGAATGATGCAGATGCACACCACTGGCAATGTCGTAGATGAGGCGCGAATGATCGCGTTGAGGTCACGTTATTACTTACAGCCATTTTACAGGCCTTACTCGACAACACAAATAAACAGTATGATCACACTCGTTACCGAAACATCACGTATTTAAGTCGTCGCTGAGCAGCTCGAGCTCCATGTTAGTCAAGTATCTCAAGCACCGTTACTTTCGCCATGGGAGTCTATACATCAAGTCGGATGCAACAAGCGTACAATATTGCGTAAGCAGAATAACACACGTCAAGCCACGTCCCGATCGCATTTGGATGCAAGTCAACCGCATCTCTTTGCTGTAAGCATCTCCTGCACGAATTCTAGACTCACAAGTAGCAGCACAGCCATGTCTTGTGGCTTCTAAGGTCAAAGGGTACTACAAACGAGCAGACACAAGTACCCCTCGTGTACTTTCGTTGTGTTCTGAAATCCTCTGAACACTCAGGGCTTTGCCTATGTTAATACTAGTGTCAGCGTGTTCATATGACTGTTTATGGATGTGCTTGTTTATACGTCTGATACGTTTGGAGCTCTAACGTGACTGCATCGAGACTCCGTGTGGATGCCAACGGTGATCGACTCCAACATTTACAACACCAATCCTTTTTTATCCAGCGTCCCGTATCAAAGTCTTTTTCCACCAGTGAATTATGGACATACCTGCCGACCTTGTGGTTGTTCCTTCTTCAGTCCGCTGGATTGTTCGCTATCTCCCGATCAAACGTACCTTAGTTACAGTCGGTGCAACCTCGACCGATCACATGTTAATAACTCGTAGCATCCATCACTGACGATATCCCTGGACTCTTCTTTAGCGACAGTCTAGTTAGTTTATAACGACATTTCTGTACAGTTCCATCAAAAGCACCTCCACCGGGCCACTTCATCTGATGCTACATCTCTAAAGTGAAGTACATTTGAAGTATTTGCGTCCCCATCGCTCCACTTTAAAATACCTCGAGTTTTGAGAATACCCGATCTCTTCGGCCCAAACTCCAAATTTGGAATGACTCCAAATTTTTCCCCAAAACTTACACGTAGCAAGTTGCCACTAAAACTACATCAACTCCTCGCACGCACTTCCCATATGAGCTCTAGACGCCTGAACCCTAATCAAATATGATGCCTTGCTACAAACAGAATAAAATGTGTTTGCTGCGGGCTGCAACTGTGGCAGGAATTTTAATGCAGCGTTGTCAGTTTTGAAGTGGTAGAATACGCACAATTAATTGCGAGTCCGAAGGGTGAAGCTGTTTGTGAAGTGTGCGCAAGGTTGAATACTGAGCTTTTAAATCGTACTTATCCATCTGTGTGTCTGTGTGTACCTGACTCGTACCAAGTGCGATCGAGCCTGTTCCCCCTCATAGGTCGATCGCGTTGCCCAAGTAATATGTACCGGATCGATCCATACATTTGTAGCACCATACTCCTTGTCAGTAACTGCTGCTGTTGTACAGTGTTTTGTAACTTGATCCAGTTCTCCGAACTGGATTACTCTTACCAAAGGGCGAGCTCCAGAGCTTGCTCCCCTATCTCACTCTTAAGTGTTGAAGTGGTATACTTCGGGTGTGGAATTTTAGGGGATGAGTATTTTAATCGCGTAGTCCACTCGAAGTAGCACGTCAGATTAGAGATGCTTTGATGTGGTGAAGTAGAGATACTCTGAAAAGCATGGTCTGTAAATTTCGCGCGAATTTCTTCTAATTTGGACTCGGTTTTTTACAGCTACCAAAAGTTACCGGCGTGCGGACAATTCATCACTTGTACGACCACATGAAGTTGTAAAAAGTGCCCAAATTTGAGCGCTGGGCAAAAGAACCCGCAGCCAACCAACTCGTCGGAAATGAGCACAACCGCTCGCGACTCGCTAGATGCGCCTCGGCGTCCGCGCGGGCGCCCTCCGAACCGATCATGGGCTTTCTTTACGTCCGTCACGGAGCCCCAGAAACTGCCGTCGGCCGTCTGCCGCCACTGCAATCAATTGGTGCACCACCGTCACAAATGGGGCCAAGCGCGTACCCATTTGATGAAATGTCCCCAATTTCTGAATTTGATGGACACACTTCCAGCCAATGAGATGCCCGAGTGGTACCTCGCAGAAGCGAGTCGACGTCATCATTTGTTGAGCCAATCCAATTTGGCGACGTTTACGAATCACGGCATTCCAAATTATCAAGTATTGCAGGATTACCACCCGACCCCGCCACTATCAGCTTTGAAAGGACGTCATGCACTGTCGGTAACAGGAGCAGCACCTGTGCCAATTATTATGGAAAATCGTGCCAATATTGCAGTACAGATCCCAATTGAGCGTGATATCAAGGAGGTTGAGGAAAACCTAGCCATGCATTTGTTCACGACTACGGCCGTGGAAAAGATAGTGGACGGAACAGCAAAGCTTTCGTTCTTGGAATCGGCGCTCCAAGCCTGGAGTCAGGACTTTGTGCTTCCGAATCGAGCAAAGCTGTTGACGGAACTACTGAACTGCTGTTTCAACAATGTGAAAAAACGAGTTGCGGATTTTTTTCAATCCGGGTCGATGGTACCTGCGACTCTGCTGCTGGATGTGACAACACCACCAGGCGTGAAGAAAGATCCGGTTGTGCATTATATGACGAGCTTGGCCAGTTTCGAGAAGTATCCGATGTACCTGGAGTCTGTTGTTGCTCCAAGTAGTGAAAAAAAACAAGATGACGTGGAATGGAGGACAAAAGATGTGGCACGAATGGTGGAAAAGCTGTCGCATCCTGTTGCTGGATGCGTGATGGCCTGCTCGTCGCCAGAGAGCCAGCGGTTACGTGGACTACTGGCGAAAAGGTTCCCAGGCATGTACTTTCATGGATGCATGCGGGATGCATTGTGGTCTTTCATTTGCCACATATTTGCGGGTCGTCGTACAACAGAGGACGACGGCAGCAGCATTCCGATGTCGTTTGTTCAAGAGATACAAGAGTTTGCGCTACAGTGCAAAGACCTGGCATTCTTTCTGCCACCGCTGAGCGACGAACTCTGCCTTAGCGAGGCCGTAGAAAGCAGCAAGAGTGTCATCCATGTGTCTCTGACGCGACGCTTGAGTGTTGCAGAAGCCTTTTTCGCCATTCTACAGGCTGAATGCTTCCTGGATACCGACAGTGTGTCGAATCAGAACTCCTCTGCTGGCTCACATGGACCTTGTTCAGATGGGTTGAGCTTTGCCCCTAATCGGGCGAATGTCGATCATCTGCAGACTGAGCTGATCGAGGTCGTGCAAAGTCCACGATTCACACAAAAAGTACGCAAGTTTTTGGCCGTGTTGCGTCCTGTCCATACATTGCTCAAGTCGTTGGATGGCGGTACTAGTGCGACGTCGTTGCTCCTTTCCGAGGTGCAGTCCTGTTTCTCGAGGCTTGCGCATCAATATGCATCGAGCACACAACTCTTGCCGGGAGAGAAAAATGCTTTGCAAGCACTTGTACGACAACAACAGGAAAACGTCGTGGGTCCGGCACATCTTTTGGCACTCCTTTTGGACCCCGTCTTGCTGGGCGAAAACTTGCCAGCGGATGCAAAAGCGGATGTGGAGCAAAAGCTGATGTCTTCGCTTCGAGCGGATGGCACTTGCCTATCTGACGTTGATAAGAACGCATTGCATGCTCAGTATATGGACTTCAAGCAATTCGCCAGGAACTTGAAGACCAGCAGAACCGAGACGCTTGGCTTCCGCTCACTAAAAGAGCGCAGATTATCTCCATTGCAGTTTTGGTTCGCCGACGGTAGTAAGTGGCCGGTGTTGCAGTCTATCGCCTGTCGTGTCTTCGTCATGCCAGTGTGCACGGTCAGTGCATCACGTGTATTTTCTGAAGCAGATGTGGCCCTGCGGTATCTTTGGAACGAGGCAGACTCTTTCTCTGCTAGTCAACTCGCGTACGTGCGGGTCAACACACACCAACTTGATTTGGCTGAAATGGTTGGAAGCTCGTTGATGGCTGAGCCGCAGAATGTAAGCAATACAAACGACATCACGGCTTCCATGGTCGTGTGATACCTGTCAAAGATTTCAACTATGAGCTACAAACTAGTTTGTCGACCGGTCTGTTCGAATTGCGTTATCTGTACACGTCGTCGTTGTCCACCGTCTACTCTTGCCAGACACACCTACGAACGTGTCTCGAATCGCTGATACCATACCGCCTTCACGTACGACTTGCAGGGTTTCGGGTGCCAGAGAACATGGTACTTGAAACATCTTTCAGAGTACTGAATGCCAGAGCGACATTGCGGGGAATAGTGTATCTCACGACTTTGTCGACAAACACATGCGACTGGCATGCGCTTCATGCTTTCAAGCCAGAACTGCGGGACTTGTTATTAGCAGCACACTGCTGTTCCTGACTCATCGGATGAGTTGCTTCGATGGCGACTCGAGGCACAGTTATTGACAGGCTCTTGTTCAGCCCCACGCGACTTTATCACAATGTTGACGTCTTGCAAAGTATCGCCAACTACTTGTGAACCGTATCATGTGGACAAACGCTTCTTCTTGACTTGTCCATGGACGACCCGTTCTAAGAGTCGAAAAAAATGCTAGCAATAGCTGCCACCGCGCTCGCGGGGGAACTGCAAGTGTCGAACTGGGCAGCCTGCAGTTCTTGAGCTTGCATTGACGCAAGGACCTGGATGCACGAGCGCAAGTGCGGGGCTTCCCGGTTGCAACATGTCGCGAGGTCGAGCTACTGATTGACAAACGCGCCGAGAACCGCGAAATTGCTTGCACTGTCTGCCAGGTGATGAGCTAGTAGTGATAGATGGGTGAGCTGCATCACCCAGCCAATTCAGACTAGGGTCTGCACATTGTCAGATATAACTGCACGCTCGCGCCTTTGCAACTCGGGGGGGAGAGTTTCCGCTGGCTTTTCCAAAGTTTTCTGGTACAACCACTGCCGCAAGCGTATCGTTGTGTGTCCTGTATCGGCCTGATCAACGGTGGTACAAAAGGCTGCAATTCGAGCGTCAGCCACTTCGGTCATCGGCTTCGGTCATCGCGGTTAGCTTTTGCCGGGGCTAGACGACTCTGTGTTGGAACTTCGAGTAGTAGCAGCGTACTCGTCCTGCAAACACTGCTGATTCGATACGCCTTCCACGAAAAAGCTGTCTGCGCTTTTGCCGATATCGTAATCTTGGAAGAGTCGCCAGCGTTCAGCATAGTCGACGTTGTCGTGTGAGCGTCTACTAGACTCCCGCAAACCTTCAATCTCGAGCGATTGTGCATATGGTAAACGTCCGACGGGCTGTAGAGTCTGAAGCGTTGCCACAGGCGCATCATTCGCCAAAGATTCTCCGATTGCTGAAGAAGTAGGCGAGCAACCTAAACGATGCCGTGATGGTTTCCCGAGCGGATGCTGCTGCGGCTGAATCTCAATGCTCAAAAGCTGCTCTTTGTACTCTTCAGCTTTGCTTTTCCATTCGACAACGCCCGCTTCGCATGTTGTGAGCTTTGTACGCAGCACCGCTGCTTCTTCGTTGACACTTTGGACACGAGCATGGGCCTCATTTACGAGAAACTCGCTGGCTGCAAGCTGTTTTCGCAACGTAGCAACCTGTGCTGCTTCACTTGTTTTGGCCTGCCTTTTGTGCTGGTGAGCTCGCCAGTTCGTCTCCTTCTGCACAGCCTCCATTTTCTCTTTGAGACGCACCTCGCACCGTTGTAGATTTGCCGCGTGTCTTTCCTCCATTGCACGGAGCTTTGTGTTAAGACCTACGTTTTCCAGTGACAGCTTCCGTTCGCGCTCTTTGCATGCTACAAGCTCCTTTGCTAATGTAGCGTTCTCATCCTCTTGATGTCGAACATGAGATTCGAGCTGAGATTTTTTGTTCTGAAGGTCACAGTAGGATGTGCACATCGACACAGCAACTGTGGCCTTTGCAACAACCCCTCTTGATGCTGTCGGACTGTTACTCAAATTATGCTGCTGGTTCATTCGCCAATGAGTCCACTTGCCCCACATTCCGCAAGCAGGTACAAAGTGTTCTGCATCATTTTTTGAGCAAAAGAAGCATTTTCCGGGCTTGAATGATGGCAAGACGGACACCATTTTCCGATCCAAAGGTCCGTCGTCGGTTCTCACCTCAGCATCTTCCTTTGCTGACGGTGGACCTGACGGAGTGGGGGTGGTCTCCGCCAGGCATCTATCTTTTCCCGACGAATGTCGTTCTTTCGTCACTTTCTGGAGTCGATTGTTCTCTGTTTTCTCATTTTGCTGCTGATCAACGGAGGACACAATCGTTTTCGTACACACCTTCTCCGATCGCATTTTTCGTGGTGGTGAATCTGCTGAAACTCCCGATACTCGTGTGCCCAGAGAGTCCATTGCTATCGCCGTCGGAACTCGTGCATTCAAAATAGCAGGATCAAAACCGGCTGTATACTCGGACACGATCCGTACAAGCAGCGGATACTCTTTTTCCATACCAGCTTGAAGCTGCGGATACAGGAAGCACGATCGTGTCAGGAACGACACAAGCTCTCTCCATGCACAGACGAACCAACCGAACACGCCCATGGCGATCACCACAGAAGCCAGCAGCAGACCGTACCCCACGCTATGAGCTGAAACAATAATCCAGGATGCAGGCATAGCTAGCGACATTACCCATAACACGAACGAACCGAGCACTGGAATTACCAGCAGCCATCGAAGCCGCCTCGTCATCACCACGAGAAACACCGTCACACCTGCACAGTGACTAAACCACGCCCAGCCCGTGTCTTCATCAACAAACTTCAACGTGTCTGGAAGTGATGTCCAGCTACCAAGCGTAAAAGCTCCCCAGAGTATCACCGCAACGACAAAAGATGTCGTGCCGTTCTTGGTGTTGGCTGTAATCCTACCACGCAGAGACAGCGTGTGCAGCAGCAACCATCCGTCTTCCTCACATCCTTGTCGTGAAGCTCCACCTTCCTCAGAGGTACGTGCAACTGCCAGAGTGATACTTTCACGCCGCAAACGTCGACGTAAAGCAAAGCGTTCGCGAGAATTGTACTCGGAGTAGTATGCAATGGTATTAAAGACCCAGACCATTGGCACCAAGAAGAAAATGCCCAGGACGCTCTCCGCTTGATGGAGCGGAGGTCGAACCACGAAACTGAGCACAGTGTACACTGCAGCCGTCGCCCAGCTGCCGTACAAAGACGACACATAGCCCAGCGGCGTCACTCTGGGAATTGTATAGAACGACAGTCCAAAGGTCACGAACAGCGCGTCCTATAACCCACAATCAACAACAATAGATCGACATATTAATGTAAGGAGTCTACGCGTCAAGCGGTATGATATATAAGATATGACGTACCCACTGACAAAGGCGGGTGCGTTGCAGAGCATAGAGCAGCAACGTGGGGATCCCACTGGCCACGGACACCATGAGCATTGTCTGCTCTCTTACACGTACTAGATTCCAGCGCACTAGCAGCCACGTGGCAACTTGAAGCATCTACAGATTACACGTCGTTCAGTTCTTAGGTAGGTATCTTCATATTTTATACTCAGAATCCCACAGTTTATCAACATACCGCGAGCAATACTCTTGATGGTACGGTAACCAGTAAATGCTCAACCGGATAATCGAGTCCATCGGCGAGTGCAAAGATGATTTGAAAGGCTGCAGCTGGTAGCAGCGAGCGAAGCCAGAGCGCTTTCTTGCGCGGATGCAGCTCCGCCTGATAAGCTTTTTCCAGTCCGGCGTCTTCGAACTGCAGCGTGAACTGGTTCAGCCGCACTGTCGAGTGCAGACGCTCGGTCTTCGTATCCCGATCCATGAGTTTCGACAGAAAATTAATTATGAGGTCCTGGGCGGAGCTAATGAACTCGCCACTCAAAAAATCACAAGCTCGGTTAGAGTACTGTAAACGATTAGAATTTGAACATCCGTTTCTAAAGTTAGTGTTAAGGTCGTTCTGTGTCATGTTGACGCAGAAATGGGTTCAATTGAAGTGCCTAGCTTTGCTCACGTTAAGAAGTCGCACGACGCGTTGATTTTGCCTGCAAAGTGAGCATGGAACATACTATCGGTGCTGTCCTTCCAAAGTCGTCTGAAGACTGTCCTGTCAATAGCCGAATGCAAAAGGGATGTGGCCTTGACCTTCTCTCTCCGTATCAGACACTCAGAACCGTGTCTGTTGCCGAGCCTTAAGTGTCGATCGACCAAGTTCATCTGTTGTTAAAGTTGCTGTTGCACGCGTTGCCTAAACTACACTTACGGGCACATTCACAGGCAGATGTTCGGGCAAATCTTGCTCAAGGCGTTGACCGGTGTCGCATCTTTTCGAGGGTGAACATGATGCAGACATCTTGAGAGGTTGCATATTTCATTGCTTGGTAGTGTCAAGCTGAGGACATTTGCACGTCACACTCATGCCAAGCTTGTCATAGACTAGCCTTCCTATTTGACAAGTAACGATCACCTTAGTGCCGGCACGGGCGAGTCGAATGAGCTCCGTTATAACGTACGGATGTTGACTCTTATAGATCTTAGAGCGGATCCAGTAGTCATTATAACCTAATATTTTTTCAATGTAATAACCTCATTTAGTTGTTTTACTCATAAAAGTGCGCCACAGCAGCGACATACAACGGGGATAACTCGAGAAAAGCAATTTTTCGTTATGCTGCCGACATTTTGCAGTCCTGCGACACCCGAGATAAGTTTTAGACTGCATGTCATTGACTTACAGATTTTGACATCGTTCGTTCGATTGGCTAAGACTAATCGCATGTCATTGGCCCACGTTAATCGAAAAAAATGAAATAAATGATGGAAGCGACCAGCTTTATATCGAAACTGATAAACTTCTTGTGAATTGCTGTCCCCACACCCACGTTTTGCTTTCCCCACATCTTTCATACCAGTACCCGTACTATAACATCGTTGGCTGGTAATAAAGAAGGAGTTTCCAGTACTAGTTCCACCACCATGGTGCGGGTTAGGAATCTTCAAAACTAAAAGACTAAATACGTCCAGGCTGGGATGTGAGCGATCGACTGGTTTCAAGTGACCAGAAATGACCCCTGTATTGGTAGTATCATGAAAGTGAAACTGACCGATGTGACTGATATACAAAAATGCCAAGAAGAAATAAATGCTGCTGTCTGCCCCACAATACTTCAAATTCAAGCATTTTGATTCTAAAACCAAGCATCACGTGGCGAGGTTTTATCAGCATCTATCTACTCCTCTTGCTGGCGATCATCAGTCTTCTTCTCTTCTTTACTACGGTTTTACAAAGAAAATCGTTTAGCTCACCCCCAATCAATCGTTCCAGGGAGGAGGTCTGGACATACTTCACGACACAGTCAGCCAAGTCCCGAGATGTCTTTTACAACTCCTGCGAAACTTTTCACAAGAGATTTTTAGCAAATCTACTTGGCGCTCCTTCGCAGAGGAAGTCTTAGACTCAAAGAGTCTCTTATTCATAACAACCCAACAACGACGTACAGTCGTTCAAGCGTACAAGCTTAACAATCCCGGTTCCAAAGGGATTACGATTCACAGAATCACACACTAACAAGAGACTGATGCTTGAACTAGACTGAGCGCCTTTACAAGACTGATGCTCTTAACAACATACCATGCCTTCACTAGGCACTTGTGTCCAACAAGTCAAAAGTGGAACTAAACTTTGTTTATCTTTAACTACGGTGATAAACCACAAAACCTTGTCTGACTGATTTTTACATTGCGATACTGTGACAGAAGTTTCCTAAACGATAAGGTGCGGTATTACCATAAGTACATGGTACCAATACTGTACCACTCAAATCCACCGATCTTTGTTTGGCGAGGACACACAACATAACCGGTTCGATCACCGCCGTGCAACCCCGTTATACCCTCCTTCACCGAATTGTCGACAGCCTTGTGTCGACAATTTTTCTACTGCTCTATGAGGTAATTCAAACCTCTGGTCCTAACCATCGTATTACAACACACTTCAAAATGACTTTTTAAACCTTTGCCCAACACCCTTGAGAAATTTGTCGAAGAGTATGTGGTGGACTAAGAGAGTGACACCGTAGCGTTGAGTGTCTATGACCCACCTCTAGCTACGTTACCGGTGCATGACATCACGTGCACCGCGCCTAATCCATTTGTAAAACGCGAGGAGATACCTTTCATCCTTGTAACGCGTGCAGCCGTCGACCCTGTGTTGGGTGTGTTGCACAACACACTGGATAAAGATCAAGCTTAATGTATATATCTGTTCAATGACAGCAGGCGTCAGGTACAATGTGAAGCCACAACGTATGCTCACAGGGGTTACCGCTTCACACCAACGAGTGTGTATGAACGCATTCTTCATACAGCCCGGCAGTCATTCGCAACATGGGTCACGGGACCTAAGGCTGCCACATCCAAAGCACTTGCGGAGATGGAGGCTCTTAGCGCGAGATAAATGGGGGTCGATGTAAGACCGTTCAAAACTACCTCTACAGGCTGAATTTGACAGCACTAGGAGCATCATTGTCCGCCATGCGGACAATATCCGTCGTTCTCTTACCTGATGAGACGGATGCGTAAAATGATGTCGTCCCACGCGATAGGCTCACAGAGCTTGCCGTATACCAAGCCTGTAGAATCTCCAAGAGAGCGCTTCACTTGCTGATGTTCGGCTTGAACATCAGCTGCGCTTTGGTTTGCAAAACAAAAAAACCGAGGCCAACTGCGATCGTTCTATCAACCCCTCTATGCTGCAGCAGCTACGGACCCGCATACCAGTGCACCTGATGCACCTGCAGCCCCCTCCACCCCGCACCTACTAGTGGTAAACAGTATGAGTCGACTGACCCTGAAGACGACGTTTAAAGACTTCAACGGCATACGGACAAATCTGCCGCAATGTCACATCGTACTCCCATGATTTCTCCGACTCCGGGTACCCTCGCCACTGTACCAAGCACTGGTACTGACCATATTGACGACGTCGCTGCAGGATTCATTCAACATGGTACTGTTGATCCCCTTGCTCGCCAACGAGAGCAGGCGTGAGCCGATGAATCTCGATGCGTCGTCTACGAGTTAGTGGGTGAGGTTCATAGTCTTCGTGACCGCGTGGCGCGTCTTGAAGAACAACTGGATCTTCTCTTTAGGATTCGTCGACTTGTGGCAGCTCCAGTTCCTTTGGCGCAAGCGCCTCGTGATCCACTTACAACGGATCAAGACAAGACATATGCAAGACGACGTAAAACACTGGGTGTGTTTGCACCTTGCATGGAAGGTTAAGCGTAAACGCAAGACCCTTCTATCTCAAAACCGTAAGCTTACAAATGAAGCGAGGATACAAATCGGTCCTATAGACTGCTGACGCTACCTTGGTAGGTAGATTCTTAGCGTTAAGTAAGACTAGGTATCCAACTTCATGACTTTCTGCCTTTTGCATCTGCTTGTCCCTTCTGTTTGCCTTGATTACCAGCAATTGCGTCACGTACATGTCTCAAGACATTCAGTTGCGTAGCAAGAAAGACCTGCCTACCTGCTTTTGAACAGAATTAGGGCTGACATCAGCAAGCCGGTCGACTGTTCCTTTCCCAACAAGTCCAGAACCACGTATTGGAAGCGTTAAATGAACGCATGGGTGAGTAAGAACATTCACGTAAAATGGAGTAAATTTCGTAGAGGCATGAACAGCGTTGTTTAACGCAAACTCAACCGCAGGGAGTATAGAGATCCAACGCTAAGGCGTATCAGCGCAAACACTGCGCAAAATGTCACCAATGACACGGTGACACGGTCAGTTTGAACATCGGTCTGCGGTTGTTCTGCTATGGACATGTCCAACCTGGTGACCAGCACCTTGAAGATGAAAGTCCGAAACTTGCCAGTGAAACGTCGATCACAATTAGAGCCTTTTGCCACAGGCAAATCGTGTTGACGAAGCACACGGTCGATAAACAGCTTCGCTGTACTTTACCATCGATGTAATCAGGCACATCCGCTAATGATCCATCTTTCTCAAAGGGTCAACAAAGACCACAATATCAATGTTACATTCTAAACCCTTTGGTAGGCTAAACGCAAAGTCCATACTGATGGACTCCCAACACCTGAAGGGTACGGGCAAACTACCCAGCGGTTTAACCGCATGAGCTGAGGGTTTGACCCGTTGACAAGATTTACACGTACGCGCATATGTGCTCAACCATTTGTACATCTTGGGCCCCCAATGCGTCTGGCTGACTGAGCTATATGTCTTCTCACGACCGAGATGAACGCTCAAAGCAATGTCATGTTTCTCAAAGAGAATACGATCCTTCAAGTCATCAACATAAGGAACAACGATGCGAGGCACATCTTCAAAACCCGTGTAATAGCGCAACAACCCACCAACGATGACGTACCAATGTAGGCTCGCACATAAACGTGCCGACAATTTGATGTTGTAGTTTTCTAAACTCTTTCGCTTCCAATAGTACGTAGCTATGCTACACATTGCTCATCACGTGCATATGCCGCACGAATATAATCCACAATGGATGGCGACAGAGTCGCAACACGAATAAGCTCATAATCAGGTCTGCGTGACAACGCATCAGCAAAAGCGTTGTTCTTGCCCGGCTTATGCTTCACCTCGAAGTTGTATTCAGCATATAATGAAGGCAAAGGGCCATACAGTGTGAGAGTTGAAGCGACTATATCGCAGTGCGAAACGACGCGTGATCTGTGAAGATCACAAAAGGCTTTAAGCCAAGTAGGTGGACTCTGCACTTGACAAGAGCCTATTTCATTGCGAGTAACTCCTTGTCGCGAACTGATTAGTTCACCACTGCAGTCTTTATCTGACGAGATTCAAGCGCAATGACACGTTCATGTCCATCGACATCTGTCTACAATAATGCAAAATCAACAGAAAAATTAGACGTGTCACAGACGAAACTGAAAGGCCGCTCATGGTCAGGCAAAGTCAAAATTGGAGCATGAAGGAGACTGTTCTTTATAGCTTCAAAAGCTTGAGAATAACTGCTTCCCAGAACTAAATCACATCCTTCTTGAAGGGGTTGGGTAAATGG